ACAAGAAGGTGTGAGAGTTCTGTTGTTGGTTTGGGATGATAAGACTTCTCATAACAAGTTTTTTATTCGCACGGTATGTGTTCATTCTTGAATTTGGGTTTTTAATTGACTCTTTAATTTATTTATTTTAATGAGAAAAATGTGTTCTTGGATTCTCGTTTTAATTGATGTTTATGATGAGGTCCTGATGGGAAAAGACAGAGAAATAATTGGTGATGGTGATACTTTGTACTGGGATTTGAATACTACTAGAATCTTGCTAAATTTGGAATTTGATACGTGTTCTGGCATTCTTGAGTTTGGGTTTCTTTTTGTCTGTTCATAGTTGGTGTTTGATGGGAAAAGGGTTTGAAGTTTTATACTCTTTGATTCTGGTTTGTAATTGATTGTTTTATAATAGGGCTGTTGATGGGAAGTAAGTTATCAGTTTGCTGTACTCTTTGTGCCTACTGGATTCTTGCTTAAATTGGACGCATGATGTATACTTGACATTAATTGCTTGTAGTTCAACTGGCTTTTCATGTTTATTTAGGGGGTGTGGTGGACTTTTTTCTCTTTTTGGATGAATAGTGGATTTGTTATATAATCCTGGTTTGGTAAATTTTATTAAGTACATTGCTGCAGTTTTGGTGAAAGTGATTCTATAATTCAGTTATCGTTGGTTCAATTGAGATTTGAGATTCTTAATCTAATGTTGAAAGGGTGTTGCTTGCAGACTGGAGTGATGCAAACTCATGATGAAGAGACCCGGAAGTTTTTCAAGCATTCTTCGGTGAATTGTGTACTGTCGCCGCGTTATCCAAGCAGTAAGCTCAGCATTTTCAAGCAGCAGGCATGCTTAGTGTTCCACTTACTGTTCCATCATTTTTTTCATCAATGAATAATTATAAACACTGTGATTGTTTTGATAGCTAGAACTACTTACTCATCTCTGTGTGGTGGTTTGTTGTGTTTCTGGCCTTAGACGGGAATATTTCTAGCCACATCTTTGATCATGCTACTTTCTCTTGTTTCTTAATTTTTATTAAGGGCCCAAAGGAAAATAGGTATACCAGAGATCGAAAACTTACTTGAGCATACCTGTTTTTTTTTTTTCCTTGTGCAATTCAGAGTGAATTATTAACAAATTTTCAAATTTAGACAGTGTATCAAAATGTCTAAATGGTAATAAAAGCTGGTTCATTCTTTAGCCAGGTGATTCTTGACAGATATCTGTTGTCTATGTGTAATGTCTATCATTGTCAATATTACTGCAAAATGGGAAAGGATGTTATCATAACATTATCTAATCAAGCATATATTTCTTTGATGTTGGTGATGCGTGAAATTAACTGGAACTGCCTCTATAAGTTTAACATCCACAGATTTCAGTCTAGTTCTTCTGATCAAACAGTATCTTTGCTGACAGCTTTATCATGACATCTCTTTTCAGGTTGTTGGGACCCTCTATACACATCATCAGAAATGTGTAATTGTGGATGCACAGGCATCTGGAAACAACCGGAAGATAACTGCTTTTATAGGGGGTCTAGATCTTTGTGATGGCCGCTATGATACACCTGAACATCGGTTATTTCAGGATCTCGACACTGTATTTCAGGATGATTATCATAATCCAACATTTCCTGTGAGTATTCAATTTCTCTGACAAAAATAACTATATTCTCACACTGCGATGAATATTCATGTTCAGGGTTTATGTTTAGCATGCTCTTCCAGATCTCCTGGCTCTCGCAGAGTAAACTATCTATTTACCTTGTTTGTTCTTTAAATGATAGGCAGGAACAATGGGCCCAAGGCAGCCATGGCATGATTTGCATTGCAAAATTGAAGGGCCTGCTGCATATGATGTGCTTACTAATTTTGAGCAGCGATGGAGGAAAGCCTCAAAATGGTCAGAGTTTGGACGAAGTTTTAAAAGGTCAACGCCTTGGCGCGACGATTCATTAATAAAGTTAGAACGGATCTCATGGATACATAGTCCTTCCCCATCAGTCCCCGGTGATGATCCTAAATTATGGGTGTCCAAGGAAGATGATCCTGAAAACTGGCATGTTCAGGTTCATTAGCATGCACTTTCCTTTGCAAAGCTTTTGTACATTTAAAACAGTCTATGTCAAATTAAATAATCATCAGTGGCTCTACTGAATTGACAGGTTTTCCGATCTATAGATTCGGGATCTTTGAAAGGATTTCCCAAAGATGTTTATCGAGCTCAAAAGCAGGTTGAATTTCTGTAGACTGAAAAAAAATTTAGTACATGGCCTTTCTGTTGACTGGGCATGATCTTTAACACATTTGAATTTTGACATTACCATAATTCACTAATTCTATCTCATCCTTTTGTTGCAGAACCTTGTTTGTGCTAAAAATATGGTCATCGACAAGAGCATTCAGACAGCATATGTTCAGGCAATCAGATTAGCCCAGCACTTCATATATATTGAGAATCAATATTTCCTTGGGTCATCGTTTGCGTGGTCAGAATATAAAAATGCAGGTTATTTCATCGTCTGAAGATACTTTTCGCATAAGAACAAAAACATGGTTTCTTAAACAGATCACCTCATCTCTACTGTGCATATAAACTCTGACAGAAGCGTATGTCTGCTTTCATAAACTCATAAACCTGGCTTTGAAAACATTTTAGCTTATGATTTAGGGTCTAGATCATAGTAATTCCTGTTATGTATTTGACTTTCATATCTGCCTCAGAAATTTTAATGAAAGGGCACTTTTACTTTTATTTTAATCATGTTTTGGTATGATTAGGTGCTGAAAATTTAATTCCTATGGAGTTGGCATTGAAGATAGCAAGTAAAATAAGAGCAAAGGAGAGATTCGCTGTTTATGTTGTGATACCAATGTGGCCTGAGGGTGCTCCCACTTCTGCCTCTGTACAAGAAATTCTCTTTTGGCAGGTAATTTAACATAAAAAATTTGTGACTTCATTGAGTGCAAGTTGAGAACACTGCAAGCGTGGAGAGGAAGATCCAAAAAGAATTCTCATCTGTTTTTAACTCGCATTTTGAGGAAAAAATAATCTGAACATTTTGGATATTTGAAAGTCGACCACATTTGCGTTGCTTGATATGGAGAATGTTCCGGATAAACATTTTGTATTTCTTATTGCATTTTCAGCTGCTATAGTGCTATGCTTTCTGGTGGTAAAGGCAATTCTACAAATCTCCATATTTTGCTGTGTTTAATTTCTTGAGTCATATATGACAGTCATAAGTTTTATTTCCACGGGGAGAAATCATGACCTGCTTAATTTTAATTGTGTATTTTAACCATGCGATTAATGTGTCTTTTTATGTTCCAGGGACAGACGATGCAAATGATGTATGAAGTGATAGCAAAAGAGTTGAAATCCATGAATCTTGAGAATTCACATCCACAAGACTACCTAAATTTCTACTGTCTTGGTAACAGGGAACAAGTGCCAGGTTCAGACGGGTCTGGCGACCAGACGGTAACAGTACTAAATGGAACTTACTTTCCAATTATATAATTATTAGACATTATTTTATAAGAAGATATAAACTTCTGATGAAAAAAGGATTGTTCGGTGTCCATTAAATGGGGAACGTGCAGACTTAATATAGTCCAGGAACCTTGTAGTTTAATCAAGTAGGATACCCTGGAGTACAAGGAAAGTTCCCTACTGATGAGACCAATTTTCTGTTACTACATGCTTATAACTTCGCTTTAGTGTGGCATGTCGCTAAAGTTTTTACGATCATGATTCAAAATTTCATTTTGTGATTACTGTTTATTTTTCTGGATCGAGAAGCCTCGGCATTCCATCTACTGCCTTGGATCTTAATTAAGGTCTACTGAGGGATAACCGGAACTACCAGCTAATTAAGGGTTAATTCTATGGATGGTCTGCATGATGGATAACTGATCTTCTTCATTAGTTGCATCTTTCCTTGTACTTCTTTGGAATGCATTGTGGATTTTACTTGCCAATTTGAAGGCGTCATATATATTCCTTTGTGGTCTTAATAATTTTGCTCTGACCATTTTTCAGGTTTCCATGTCTCAACAATTTCAACGGTTTATGGTTTACGTGCATGCAAAGGGAATGGTAGTAGATGACGAGTACATAATACTGGGATCTGCCAATATTAATGAACGATCTATGGCCGGTTCAAGAGATACTGAGATAGCAATGGGCGCATATCAGCCTCATCATACGTGGAGCAATAAGAAGAGACATCCACTAGGCCAGGTTTATACCTTCATTATAGTAGTTTAAACCTTAAATCATTTAAGAAGAGACATCCACTACGCCAGGTTTATACCTTCATTATAGTAGTTTAAACCATAAATCATTTAAGAAGAGACATCCACTAGGCCAGGTTTATACCTTCATTGTAGTAGTTTAAACCTTAAATCATTTATAGTCCTTCAGTTTTATTGCCTTCATTCTACGATATCCCAGAGGAGGCCAAGTCAATAAACCTGTCTTTTGACATATTCTCATTAGATATGCTTTTGTAAGAATTTTAACCTTGGTTAGCTGATCAAGCTAATTGATGTGTCTTCAGGTATATGGGTACCGAATGTCTCTCTGGGCAGAACATTTGGGGCTGGTTGATAACTTGTTTAAAGAGCCTGGAAGTTTGGATTGTGTCAAGAGCGTGAACAAAATCGCTGAAGATAACTGGAAGAAGTTCACGGCGGAGGATTTTACACTATTGCAAGGACATCTTCTTAAATACCCTGTGGAGGTTGATGGCGATGGCAAGGTAAGCCCTTTGCCAGGGCAAGAGACTTTCCCGGATGTTGGTGGTAAGGTGCTTGGAGCCCGTACAAACCTTCCCGATGCATTAACTACATAGGTTTCAGGGTTTCAGTTCTGTTATCCGTTTCATGTGGTTTTACCTCGCAGCTTATACTGATTCAAGCAAGGTCTAGGTCAGCTGTGCCAATTTTCTGTGGGCTACCAATGTACCGTAATACCAATTTTGAATTTATTTAATAGGATTATGAATAAAAAGATTAGACTGATGAAATTTGCATCACAAAAACTACAATCATGTTGATTAAAATTTAAAGGCATTATACAATCTTGGTTCACCCCATATATTCTCTCATTCCCACCATTAAGATTTATAAACTCTACTATCTTCCAAAAAATAAGAGGAGAAGCATGGGATGATCCCTACAGATTCTTCATGTAATTAAACTAATTAACGGTAACTTTTCCCACCATGCCAGCTCCCTGATGAGGAGAACAGTAGAAGCTGTATTCACCTTTGTTACTCAAGGCAACTTCGAAAGTCTCTCCTTTGGCATTGAGGAGATCCTCCTCACTCATGGAGATTTTTGACGCATCAACCCCACTTGGAATAGAATCCTCGTCGAAGACAATGTTGTGTGGGAATCCGGCATTGTTCTTGAACACGATCTTTTCACCAGAGGATATAGAGAACTCGCTGGGAACAAAAGCCAATGATCCATCGTCAGCTCCAAGCAAGACGTCGATGGCCATAGCATTGCTAGCAATCATTGCGCTAGCAGCGGTGGCGACAACGGCAACACCAACGTCTTTCATTGAGGCCTTGATGCTGAGCCTTGGGAGTGGAGAGGCGGAGACCTTGGCACTGGCACTGACTTTAGCACTGGAGGCACTGCCTGCCTTAAGACCAGTGAAAGATGGGATTGAAACAGCAGCAGAGGTGACAGTGGCCATTCTTGAGGTTTTTTGTTCTGGTTTTTGCTGGTATTGTGTGCTGGAGGCGATTAGTCAGAAGGGGGAAGGGAGTCTGGTTGGTTTTAAAGCGTGATGGAATGCAAGTGTGAGGCTAAGGTGTGAGAGGTTCATGTTGTGTGGTTTAGATTTTGTGATGAGATAATGTATGGCGAAGAGGATGGGCAGGGAAAAGGGGTTATCTGTGAGGACTGCTCTCATTGGCTGGTTTGGATGTTGTTTCCTGACGTGGCGTTGAACGTATTGAAGTGAGGAGGAGAATGGGAGAGGTGGGAGGTATGACAATCATGGAAAGGATAAGCGTTTGAGTTGGACAAGGAAACTGCTCTTTGATTTATACCTTATCTTGAAATCTCAAGATTAAATTATTTGCCCTTTGAGTTAATTACCAAGGAAAAACAATGCTTATACTTGCTATTCTTCTCTTAGACTTCTTTCTATTACTGAAAATAGATATAAAATAAATTTATATTCTTCTTTTTTTGTCTTGAAATAATAAACAAACACAAGGTAAAATCATAGTTTTTCTTTTCCTGTGGTTAAACTCTTTAGCCTCACCACGCCCTAAAAAAAAAATCAGTAGAAAGGAAACAAAACCTAAACTAAAAAATCATTGCTAGCTTTCAAACTATCATTTTCAGTGCAGATGCGTGCTTCTTTTCTCTTTTTTTTCTTTTTTCTCGCCCACAACTGCATACCAAATCCCATCATGCGCTCCAAACCTACAAATACGTGATGGATATGTCCCCTGGCAGATATTTTTGCCAATCGCAACCATTGTTATGTGGCTCAGGCAAGCATTAGCACCCACCACCACGAAAGGGCCCATTAAGGGCAGATGATAATCAATCCATAACACCCAGGCAGCAATACGAATTGTGTTTGGTATTATAGTATATCTTGCTTTTTAAAAGTTTAAAAATATATTAAAATAATTTTTTTAGAATTTTTTTAACCATAGTAAATCATAAAAAAACACTAAAATAATTACTCTTTAAAGTAAAATACATTTTTAAAACACCCACAAAAGCATCATCAAAATCAGCAGCCCGTGTCTTCAGCACAAATAACAGTAAATTTAACCACAAGATGCTGTTTAACCTACCTTTTTTCAATCTGTACAGCACTACATTAACTTTTGACATTCATTAATCAAGCTACATTTATGCTAACATATAGAGGGAAGTTGAATAAGTAGATGGGGTAGCAATTAAGCGGCGCTGAAAAATACTATAAAATATATGATGTCGTGAAGCACGTAAATGAACAAGGATGTTAGAGCTCACACGGGAGTGATCAGACTGGAAGACAATGCGCTGCAACAATCCAAGGCCTGTTTCACCTTCAAAGAGACCCTAAAAATTCCTCGCAAGGATCTAATAGTTGAGAGGACGAGCATAAATGGAAGAGCGTAACTACATGAGTGAACCATTCGTAACTTCTTGTACTCGCATTTGCAATGTACTAGCTATGTACTGCCTATGTACTACATACGCAAAGATATTCCAGGTATCTTTCACGTGCAGATGGTCCTACTCCTACCAAAATCCAAACTAAACATGAAAGATGTCGACGCTTTTTGTAGCCCATCAAATAGGCCCATTGATTGATTAGAGCAAACTGAATATAGAGATCGAACAACCACCTTATATAACCTGAATATATACTGCTAGAAAATAAAAATTTGGTAGGTCTTGCAAGAAATTCCTGGGGAAGCTCTGAAGGCAGGTCTATGTGAAACCATTCCCCCGAAATCCCAGCTACAGAAGGCACGGTGGAAATTTAGAGTTTAGCCACATTGACTCAACAATAATTCCGTCCAAGGAACAGCTTGATGCATCACACCGTAGCGCATCCTATTTGCCAGATGCTTAACAGAGTAGTTTCCCGTTAGTAATTCTGATAAACTACAAAGCAATTTACTAATGCTTCATCCAACCAAGTACTATACATCTGATTTTGCAGTCACTAACCACCAAAATTAGCAAACTTTCAAACCATGACTAGAATTATTATGAAAACAAAAGGGGGAACTTGAAAATCCAAAACACCAGTTTCCACTCCGGATCTAGTTTCTAACCAATATTCCCAGCAGAAATGGCTGTTCCATTCAAATAAGAAAAATGAAAGAAAACAAAGAAGACAGGTTTGATCAAATGCATGTCCACTAAAAACCCATTGAAAAACTAAGTGATTCTAAGCACTGCAAATGGAAACTAAATAAATAAGAGCATCTCAACCTGCTTGTCTTTCATTATAACCGAAACCTGACCTGCCCCAACTCCTTGCTCACAGAATCTCCATCTCAAATATTGACAGCTCATTCACTTAGTTTGACATTTATGGACATTGCATAATATTACCAGAATTTTCTCTCAAACGTTACATCTCAAATAACCGAAACCACACTAGTACGTGATCTGGCAAACATCTTTCTCCAATCAGACATCCTTAAGTCGCAATAAATTCTTTTTCCAAGATTAACTGCCTTAATATCATCAAGGAAACTATCAAATAAGAAATAAAAACTGCTATTACTTCCACGTTGGCTTTATTTGACCTCCACTGATATGTCTCCAAAGCAAGTACATTACAGGCTTAGGTACTCTACATTCTAGAACATCAACCAAATAGAACAAGTTCCTAGACAAGATGGCAAAATAGTGAACACTTAAACATGATCTCTTCAGACTGCATTTGCGTTAATCCTCTATCCTCTTATGATCTAATGATAAAGTTGCCCTAAAGCCAATCACATGAATTTCAACTAAAGGGCCATGGTGGCATATCAGTACTTCAACATATATGAAGAAAAAAATTGACTAAGAGCAATGAGAACAGAGATAACGAAATCTCAAAACATAGACTAGAAGTTTTGCAACTCGAGAATTTGAATAAAATAAAATAAACCCATCACAACTTATACAAGGTTACCAAAATTACAGTCTCACAAGGTTACCATTTAACATGTCCAATGCCTGGTCTTTTAAATACCATCAACAACATTTTATGCAATGCTTGATAATGAAAGTTTTTTCATTATAAATATCCACCCCTAAATTATAATAGTCTATTCGGCTCAAAATGAAACCTCAATTATTATTAATTACACTACCACACCAGTGAGAACCAATGGCAACAAGAAAGAACCTCTATACAGCCCCGATATGCTCCAGTTCTGAGTATATTAAACATAATGTACATCACAAGATCAATCATTTTCACCTCTTTACATCGGAAACATGTTGCCGCCGCCATCCTGATCCTGATGATGATCATCATCATCATCCATATCAAACAACTTGAATCCACCATCCCACTTTGCATCTCGATAATTAAAGCTAGGGTTCACGTAGCACTTCATCTCGTGAAACAAGTTCAGATTATCCACTAGCTTATGAAACACATTGCAACCACAACACTACAAAACACAGCAAAAAAACATTAATTAAATTAAATTCAACACGAAACCCTAGCATTCCAAAACAAATAAGCAACCAAAAATCAACGAACGCCAAGCGATGATTACCTGAACGAAGACGGTGCCGTCAGTGTAAGCATGGGGATTGATAGCGCGAGTAGTTCTCTGACCACAAACATTGCAAGTAAACGCCACGCGCATTCGCCTGCGTGGTGATTTCGTGAAGAGAGACCACGGGAGAGTCGAGACCTTCTCCGTATTGGATCCGTCCTCGGCTCCAGCTGGCACTGAAGGTCCTTCCATGCCTGAACCTGTAGTCCATCCTCTCACAGATGCCGCGCTCAATACCAATCCCATCGCCGCATCCTAATTCCCAAATTACCCCAATAATGGCATCAATTTACCAATTTGACATCCAATTAAGGAAAAAAAATAAAAAAGAGATAAATATTTTTACCTTGGAGAGAGTGGGGTTGTTGAAGAGAGGGACGATGCTGGAATCATTAGAGTTGGATTGGAGATCCGAATCTTTGTTGTCCTCTGAATCGATAAAAAGAATTCAATTCACTTACAAAAAATAAAAATGAATTGTAGGAATCGGAGAGAGAGAAACGAGACTTACTTTTTGAAGAGGTGTGGAATCGGAGAAGTCTAGGAGGGGAATTCAAGTCCTTTCGTTTTGGAGAGAAGAAGGATAGAGGAGAAGAGGAGGATGAGACGATTGCTGCAGCGGAGCTCAGAGTTTCCATGGTGATGAAGAGACGTGGGTGATTTTTTTATTTTATTTTATTTTTCTATAAAGACACCTGTGGAGAATGCAGAGTGCTGAGGGAGGGGGATTTAATTATCAGGCAAGAGTTTCTGGACCGATGGGTTTTGTGTGGCGGTGGTGTCTAGTTGGGTTTCATTACTGGGCCATTTTTATGGGCTAAACTCGAAATGTTTGGGCTACAATGGCCTCTTCGAAGCCGAAGTGAACAAGTGCTGGCTTTATACAGGATCCATAGTTCGTGGTTTCTTAATCAACAACTTAGCTTGTAAGAAAAAATCAGTGTTTGTAAATTAATTTTCTCGGAGATAGAGAGATTTTTGGAAAAAATCATGTTGTGTTTTTACCATGGTTATAAAACCTAACACGGTATAAGATTAGAGCTGCGGGTTGACCGAAGAGTTAACTAATAAATTCAGCTTATAATTTAAAAAAAAAATTAAAACATGCTATTTCAACTAGAAAAAAAAAAAACTGAAAACAATGTTGTTTTTTATTAAAAAAAAACACAGGTTTTATAGCTATAGTTTTCGCTTTTAGAGATTTGAAAGGAACATACGAAAGTACAGTCATGGAGAAATGCAGAAAGTAATTAAATTATGTGGTTGCAAAACCATCCCTTTTTTCTATCCAGATTCTTTGAAAAATACATTACAGTATATACATACAGCTTTCTAGTTCCTACTTGATTCCCACTCTTAGACAGTTGTATAAATGTTGGATACAATCCAAATCAATCCACCTCTGAGCAAAAGATGCCAGAGTGGGTTCAATATTCACTGCATTGATCCTAAGACTCTTTCATTTAAGTCATATATATATATATATATAAACATGCATGTAAATTAACATATAGTAAAATAAAAGTTCATCATGCTTTTGTCAATGTCCAATATTCAGTATTATTGTTGTGCAGGTTTCACAACAATATTTAATTATTATCAATATATGATATGTCTTAATGGAATAAATGATTTGTGATTATCATATAAAGAAAATAAGTAGTGCAAGAAAAAAAAGAAATAAACGTTGTGTGTTTCAAAGCATTATTCAAGGGAAAAGAAGTCAAAACGATATTCTAATGCAAGAGCAATGTGATTACACAGAGAAAAGT